AAGGGGGTCTCGGCTGGAGGAGCCTGACAATTTTTTTAAACTGTGAAAATATTTGTTGTCAAAACTGTAATAGTTGACAGGCATTGGTCTAAGTAGGTCAGGGTCAACTAAAATAGTAATAGGGATGAATAGCTCTTTTTTTAAAAAAATCAAGGACTAGGAACTGGGAGACCCAGGTTTGAATCCCCACTCTGCTACAGAAGCTTGCTGGGTGACCTGGGACCAGTCACCCACTCTCAACCTAATCTACCTCACAAGGTTGTTGTGATGATAAAATGGAGGAGAGGTGAACAATGTAAGTTGCTTTGAGTCTCCGCTGGGAGAAAAGGCAAAGTATAAGCAAATAAATGTGTTTTTTTTAACACTAGGTGTTTTATTCTTTCACTAGTACTGATTTTTGTGCACTTTCCTTTTTTTAAAAAAAGGGTACTATAGATGCAGGAACTGGGGTTGCCACCAGCTGTGGCTTGGGAAATTGCTGGAGATTCGAGGGTGCAGCCTAGGGAGGGAAAGTATAAACTGAGGGGGCATGTTTGCACGGCCAGCAGCAGAACCAGTGCAGTATGCCCACCAGACCCAGTGCCACTGTGGCAGTCCGTGCCCAAACCCAACAGGATTCAGGTCAAATCTGAGAATCTCTGGGAGCATGTTTGCAAGGCCAGCAGCAGAGCCAGTGCAATGTGCCCACCAGAACCATTGCCACTGTGGCAGTCAGTGCTCAAACCCAACAGGACTCAGGTCAGTCTGAGGATCTCGGCGGTATAAAAGGGTGGGAAAGAGACAAAAATGGCAGGAAAAAGAAAGTAAGGGGAGCTCTTTAAAGTTTAAAGCCTCCCAGAGCCTGTATTCGGCAATGCTGAAAAAAGCTGAACAGATCAGGGAATCTGATTTGGTATGCTGAATACCTAAAAAATGCTAAAAAGGCATTTTTTAGGTTTTTTCGGTTTGGCTTTACCGAATGCACACCCCTAATTATTAATATTGGAAAAATTCCTTTTCAGATTTTCCCAAGATGTCTGTTTTCCCCCTACATTGTGTGTTGTAAAAGAAAAGTCTTCATAAACTATTCATATGAATTCTAAAAGTCAAGAAGTCATAAATGTTTTAGTTCTTCAGGTGACTAACTGAAATGTTCTTAAGGATTTAAAAATCCATTTGGCAGAATTAGATATTTCTGGCTTCAAAGGAAACAAAGATATCTAATGTTATAACTGTAAGAAGATCAAAGATCTTGCATTAAAAAATCCAAAGATGAGATGTTATTTGGTTTTCATAAGGCCAGCTATGCTAAGGGCCTCTTGCACTGATGTGCTTTATTCCTCATGCAGAGATTGTACCACATTAGGAGGCCAGCTAAAGAACTCTATACATTTTCCATGCTTATGTACAGCTAATGTTCATACAAGATGGAACAAGATTGCGCCACCTTTCCCCCTACATGTAATTAACTGAATGTATGAAAGCATCTCTGTGTGTAGGCTCTATCTAGACAGCTGGGAGAGCTGAGAAAGGAGTTTTAATCATGTATACAAAGCCAATATGTGTACAGTTTGTGTACCCATAAGTGTTTCCACACAGGTTATTTGCCCCGAGTTTGATGTTGCTGGGAAGTGGTTTGTTTCCTGCTTTCCCAGAGCATTGTGGTGCATTCATGCAACTCCAGTGGTTTTCCTGGCTTTTCCACAATCTTTCTCAAACCTTGCTTGCACCAGACTTGCAAAGCCCAGGTGGCTGATGTGTGGGCAGAAAAGTTTGGATTTTTCTGGTTCTATCCCATAGCAGCCATTTTCCCAATGATAGGCATTTCATCATAACGTGTATAACAGTCCTCTGGGCCAGATCCCTCAATGTGTGCACTCAAGATCTTTTCCCATGTTCCCCTTCCACCCAGATGACCTTTCTGACCCTGGGAAAATTTCTTCTAGGGGTCTTGGGACAAATGTGGACTAATAGCCATGTGGGTTGGAGGCATGAACTCTTCTCCTGGGTCCAACCCACTGTCCCTAAAGGGTTTCTGTGATGTATTGAAGCCTCATGGGCAGTTGTGTCAAAAAGTGACTCCTCATATGAAACACAGAAGGTGAAGTTTTGGGCAGTTTTACTCATTCATAAATTAACACAAGAACTGGCCAAGTCTGTCTATAGGACCAAACTCTATTGTGGTGTTTTGGAATCAAGCCGGATTTTGTTGTTGTTGTTGTTGGTAGTGGCTGAAAGGCAAATGTATTTGCAGACTGCAGTAAGCTGCCACTGTCACCTGTATATAACAGCCTCCTGGCAGCTCCCAGAAGTCTTTTGATGGAGTGAGCAGTCTTGAAAGGGGAATTCTTTGAGACGTATGACAAGATTTAGTGGAAAACAACTTTTTTATTTAGTAAGAGAAATTCACAGTAAAAATATAGATCAATAGAGAATGAAAGCCTATATCAAATAAGACTAATGAGTGAGAACAGAAACTGTGAAAATAAAGGCTTAGGAATTACTGATTTCTAACACTTATCTCACTTTAGGCTGCATGGTCCTCCTGTCTGCTGTTGCTATGCAGAGATTTAAATAGTGCCTGACATGCCCCGGATCATTTGTCTTGCAGTCATGTTGGGTATGGTGGTTGTCCATCACACACAATTGTGTCTTGATCTTGCCTTCCATCCAAGGAGCTCAGAGTGGCCTACATAGTACTTTTCTTCTTCTGTTATATCCTCAGAATACCATATGAGGTAAATTAAGCTGAGAGAAAATGTTTGGCCCTGACAGTATGGTCTTGAGGTGTTGCCCTTCTATGCCCACTAGATTTAGCATATTGTAAATTTATCTCAGGCTGCACTGCAAGTGAGCTTTGTACTTAGTGGGGATATGTGCCCATGTCTTCTTATTTCAGCACTCTTGAGTGTTACCACACTGGATCTCTGTTGTCCAATGCCCACCCATCTGTCCTGTTAGTGTCTTGGCTGGAGGCCATTCTGTTGACTGATGGATCTTTCAGGACCCATACAATTATATGATTGGTATTGTGTTTCCAACATTTTGGGGAGCTCTGTTCTGAGGAGGTTTGATGGTTTTGATTTTGAGCTTGCTGGAGGTTTGGGACAGGTCTCCTGATTGGCTGCTGACTGTTCTAGTGGCAGTGGTGGGGGAGGGGCAAGTTCTTGCAATTAAAGGCCAAACTACATGTGATGTTGGAACTTTGTAACAGGAACGCTACATGTGCTGTTTCTCCCTTTGCGCCCCCCCCCCCCCCCCCGCTGCCTGAGTCCCCGGTGGGCCAAGGCTGCCGGAACAAGGGCCACCACCACCCGAGGGCCCGGCAAGCCAAGGCGGCCAGCCTCATTCCTCCCCCTGCTGTGCGCTCGAGAGGGCGGCGGGCCAAGCTGGCCGGCCTGGCACCCCCCCTCCACATGCTCAAGGCATTGGTAGGCGAAGCTGGCGGGGCTCGTTCATCCCGCCCGCCCGAGGTCCCGGCGGGCCAAGATGGCCGGCCTCGTCCCTCCCCCTGGTGTGTGCTCGGGGGTGGCAGCGGGCCAATTGGACCAGGCTCATTCTTCCCCCTCGGCCGCTTGAGGGGGCGGCGGGCCAATCTGGGCAGGGTCCTCCCTCTCCCCACAGCCTGTGCAAGATGCTGGCAGGGAAGCTGGCCGACGTTGCACCTCCCCCCTGCCACGTGCTCGAGGGGGTAGCAGGCCAGTCTGGCCGGGCTCATTCCTCCCCCACCCACCCACTTGAGGGCCTGGCAGGCCAAGGTGCCCGGCCTCGTCCCTCTCCCCACGGCCCGTTCAAGCGAGCGAGCACCGCACGTCATGGTGGAGCAGCGGCGAGCAAAGGACTCTTTGTGGGAGCTTGGTCCCCTCTTCTTCAGGCCTCTTGGGGGGGCAAATCAGCCCCCCCCCCCGTCAGCGCTGGCTCGGCGGGGGTTGGGGCTCGCATAAAAGCTGCCCTGGGACCCATGATATGGATTGGGACTGCAGTGCTGAGGAAGGGGGATAACTCTACCTCTTCGGCTTTCTCCAAATCCTGATACAGAATACACCTGGTACCTGTTATCATGCCTGGTTTTTTATCCTCTGAAAGCAACTTGGGAAGAGCCTATTTTAAGATTGGTATGTCATGGGGGAGTGTTTTGACCCTATTCAGTCTCCCCCCCCGTCTCCCCCCCCCCCCCCCCCGGTCCATGGCTGAATTTTCAAGGCCAATAATCTATCTGGAGTTCGGTAATGGAATGGTAGGATATTAATTTTTATTTTAAAAAAATTAATCATTTTTGCTTTGCATCACAGCTGAACTACAGAATGAGCTGCTTTACTTCAAGATTCTTTATTTTTTTCTTTTCTGTTCTCAGTACTTACATGTGACTTGCCTGTTAGCTATTGAGGAGATTAGAAGTTATTGAAATAATATGCACAGGTGTAAGTTTTATTTGACTTAGAAGAGAATGGATTAAAATTATAGTATGTTTTTGTTTCAGATAGAAAGATTGCTCCCTTTCAGTATACATATTACAATTAATAAATCGTCTGATGTATTAAACAGGGGGAGCTTTGGACAAAATAAAGACATTTCCCCCATTTTCCCCATTTGTCTTCCAATGTTGGCAGAAGGGACGCATTCATATGTATACTACAGTTAAAGTGTAGTTCACTGGATTCATTTAGCAGAACTGTGGCTAATTTTGTTTTGATCTCCAGCTGTATTTAATATCAGGCATTTTATTAATAATCTTGGCTTGTTAAATCATACCACATGGTAATAAAGAAATGGAACTTTCCCTTCCAAAGCAAATTTCCCATCTCACTCTTATTTCTCCCCAAGATTTCTCTAACACTGTTTTTAAAGCGGGAATTATGTGGTTGCTCTTGGTTTTTTATTAATGATCTCTTTTTTCTCTCTCTCTCTCTCTTTAAAAAATGTTTACAGCTAACTATGGACCAAATCCCATTTGCAAAGGTTGCCTAACCTGCTCCAAAGACAACGGATGCATCCGATGTCAGCATAAGTTGTTCTTCTTTCTCAGAAGAGAAGGAATGAGGCAATATGGTGAATGCTTGAATTCCTGCCCTTCAGGGTACTACGGTCTCCGAGCCCCAGATATGAACAGATGTTCAAGTGAGTTTTTTTCCTGCTCTTTAAAAGTCTGCAATGTGCCAAAGAGAAAGTAACAGTGATATCTTCATAAGTAACACTAAGTCATTGTAAGCTACCTTTCCTGAACAGAATCATGGAATGTGTTGCAATTACCAGTTATCATCCGTAGTCTGAGCAGTGTTCTGAAACAAGTCTCTCCTGTAGTTGTCAGAAAAGAAGCAGCTACCAGTGACAGTATACTCATGAGCTCATTATGTGTTCTTGTAAACTGACTTGCCAAAATTGACATACCTGCTCTCTGTTGCACTATACATTAAAGATCTCTTTGCCATGTCGCTTCTGTTAATGGGTTGGCTCCAGCATAAAGTTTCCACTTCTGCTAAAGTTCTTGTGTGAGTGGAAACACAAGAAAAAGACTGCAGTAATCTCTTGTAGTAAATCTTACTTAATGTATCTCCTCTTGTGTTTCTGCTTGTACAATATCTTGTACCAGTTTCTGGCACTATCATCTATAAAGAGGAAGTTGCTAGGTGTGGTACGAGATCTTGTCCATCTACTTCAAATGTGAAATTTGAAAGTTACCTACATTTAAAAAGGTAAAGGTTCCCTTGCTCGAAAGCCAGTCGAATCCGACTCTAGGGTTGCGGTGCTCATCTCCGTTTCAAAGCCGAAGAGCCAGCACTGTCCAAAGACGTTTCCGTGGTCATGTGGCCGGCATGACTAAACACCAAGGCGCACGGAACGATGTTACCTTCCCACCGACGTGGTACCTATTTATCTACTTGCAATTTCTTGCTTTCGAACTGCTAGGTTGGCAGGAGCTGGAACTAGAGACGGGAGCTCACTCCGTCATGCGGCACACTCGGGTCTTGAACTGCTGAACTACTGACCTTCCACAGCCTGCAGTTCAGCGTCTGAACCACTTGAGCCACCGCAGCTCTTACCTACATTTAGTGCAAAACAAAAAAAAGTATCCAATCTTCCACGCCTGAGGAAATCTTTTTGATAAATACTGCATGATGGAGCCTTAGTCAATAAAACAGGCTGTTAAACAAAAAGCTGATGCTGAAGGTCAGGGGACTCTCATGCAAAAATGTCTCATGGCCCAGGGAAGGGGGCATCAATGGAGAGGAGGAATCTGGCAAAGTCACCCCTTGCGCTCATCAAAGCAGGCTCTCTATTTACATGAATGGAGTGATGATTTTGTTCAACTCCACTTTGTCACTGAAGCCTTCATGCCACTTAGCATTTGCCCACGACACTCAGCTTTGTGGGGAGGGAAGGTTGTCACTGGGCTCTTGGGGTGAAAGGGAATTTGGGGAGGAAACTCCTTGTGTTAGCTGTTTGTAGGATTCAGCTGGCTGTCTTCATGCTTTAGATGGTGATACTGAAGGTAAAGTGATGTATGCATCCATTGTGTACATGAGTCTCCTACCTGCATCAGCAAGCATTTCAAGTTTTCTACAACTAAAAGAGAAACATAAATCAAGTTGCCCAGCCTCAGTTAAATATGCCTGGAGCAGACTTAACTGGTCATGTCAATGGTTTCATCAGCTCAAATGTGCTCTGGACTGTGCAGAATAAGGTTCATCTTAGAGCTGTGTTCCTGTCTCACTATAAAAAATGCGGCCATGCTCTCCTAAGTCATTGCCATATGAAACTGTCTCATCAGGATACTTGTAAACACATGTGCCTTGCTCCATTTAGGATCCTGATTAATCTTTTGATGATGGTGATGTCCAATAATGATTCGTATGTGTGGAGGACCCACTGCAGATCAAACACAGAGGTTTTTTATGAATAGAAGACTTCTTAAAGAAGGCATTTGTCAGCAAATGTTCAGTGGCCACATTAAATGCCTATGTCTGTGAGCCTTCACTTGGATAACTGTACTAGAGTTGCGAGGGCCATGCCTGCAGTTGTCAGGAACTGTTATGGAAGGTGGACCCTGGGCAGGGGAAGTATCACTAATACCGTAGCATCATTTCTTGGTGATCTCCCGAAAGTGCCACCACTCTGCCTCCATGACACTGTGAGAATTCCCCCCAATCTCTATAGTAAATACCACAGAGATTGGATCCGTTCATAGAGCACTGTGGGTAGGGGCTGTGCCACCCTCCCCTCCTTCAGTTTTTCTCACACTGCTCACTGGATCAAACATGGGCAGTGCACCGGAGGGCAGGGCAGGAGTTTACCCACCTCAGGCGATCACTGGCAACCCTAATGTCCTGCGAGAGGGATCTCTTTTTAGAATCTCTGGGACTGATAAATTCTGACAAAGGTGTTTGAAGACATGAGAACCACCTGCAGGAGTACTGCTGCATCTTTATGTCATCATAGTGTCCCTTTACAGATAAAGAAACAAACTATGTCAACAGCCAGAGCAAGGAATCAGGCAACAAATCAGTAGAATACAGAGCCCATTTGCACAACTAAAAATGTGCGGCTAAAAATTACTGACAGCTGACATGTTGATTAATCATCCAAAATGCTTCTACACCCAAAACACGCGTTTGGGAGCACCCTGCACCATTATGTTAGTGCACTGACACAAATCTGCAAATTTTGGATTATTTACGACTGTTATTTCCTCTTTGGTAAAGATTCTTTGAGAAGTCCCCCCCCTCCCCCATAACAGTCTTTGCCAGCCAGTCCCTTCACATACTGGTTATTCTAGCATCTCACATCCCCTTCCAATATACCTTCACTAGATTTGAGTCCAGTAGTACCTTAGGGACCGTCAAGATTTTGGGGATATCAGCTTTTGAGAGTCAACATTCTCTTTATCAGGTCTGAGATGAAAGTTTGCAACCCAAAAATCTTTTTGGCCTCTGAGGTGCAACTGGACTTGAATCTAGCTTTTCTACCGCAAACCAACATGAATACCTCCTGAAACTACTTTAACTTAAAGATGTCATTTTCTTTCTTTTTTTAAAAAAAGCTATATTTGGTTCTGTATTCTAGAGTCGTAGGCTGCATAATAACAGAATCTCTCACTCTTAGGCATTAGCACATCCTCAGAGCATAACAGTGGGGTACACAAAACGTTTCCCCCCAGGTAAAATGTCACATCCATAGGTCTGGGGAAGTTATTAAAATTCCCTGAAAAGAACACTTAGCTTGCATGCTCTGCACAAGTTCATAGATATGTATGTTTTTACTAAACTTGCGGTATCTGTTTGAGGATGATGTTCCTTGCTTTGCATTCTCAAGTGTTGCTGTGCACTGCCTAATATTTACCATGTGGCTGCCTTCGGCTGGGAGATGAAAATGATCCCAGGGTATAGCTTCTATATTTCATTTGTGAAGCACTTTGGAATCTTGGCCTAAGCTTTGCGTGCTTTAATTGTGATGTCAGGAGCTCTTCCCATTTTGAGACTCACCCCCCCCCACCCCCTCCACAACATCGGAGTTTATTTTCTAGGCTGTTTTTTGTTATCACTTGCTCATGTTGTGGAAATAATGCATTTTGGAAAGGTATATTCAAATGTCAGTGTGTGATAGCATGGAGTTATAACAGTAATTCTAGGAATTGGGAGGGGAGCTTGGAAAATACCTTAATTAAAGGCATGTGGCGCTGTCCTTATAGTAGAGATTTGCAACCCCTGCCCCTCTTCCATACCTGTACACATTATCTTGAAATATATCCAATTGATTTCAGGGTGATTTACCACCATGCAATCTGTTGGGGCAATGGTCTGACGTGCTGGAGCTTGTTTGGAAAGATCCAAGTCTCAGGCCTAGAGATCTGGAAACAAACTGATAGTTGGGCCAGGAAGTGATTGGCTCCTTATGTCACCTGCCCCTGCTGGGTGGGCAGTTGCAGAGTTTGATGGTGGGGTTGAAGAGCAGCAAAAAACCAACCCAGTGCTTCCTTTCATGGTAGTTCAGATAGCAAAATACACAGATTCTGCCGCTAGAGAGCCATGATTAAGATTCCTGGCACTGATTATCACAAAGGTTTATTTCCCCCACCGCATAATCATACATGACTGTAAACAGAACTGCCATGGGCCATTTGTCTATCAAGGTTTGTTTTCTACTCTGACTGGTGGGGGGCTCTCCAGAATCTCAGGCAGACGTCTTTCACACACTTGCTTCCTGATCCTTTTAACTGGAGATTGAACCTGAAGACTTCTGCATGCAAAGCAGATACTCTGTGGGCCCTCCTCAATTGTCCAAGGAGTGCTTCATTCCGCTCTCCTGAGTCATTCTAAATGCAAAGTACCTCTGACAACTGTCCCACAAGCCTTTCCTTTTCAGTTTAATATGATCACCCAAGTCAACAATTCTAGCAGACTACCTAGGATGAAATCCAGTAGGTGTTGGTCAGTATATTTGATACTGATCTTGATTAGTTAATATGCCAAATGTGCATCCTAATTTTAAAACAAATACATTTTAATTAATGTAGTGTTTTAATGTTTGAACGTCTGTTGTTGCTCTGGTACATGGCTGTCTGTTTTAGAAATTATGGAGGTCAGAGGGAAGGAAGAAAGTGGGTGAAGGAAGAGGAGACAACAACATTGACATTCAAGCTTTCTGTTAAACACGTGTGCCAGCGTGGGTTGGCATCATAGCTTGGGCTGCTGCCAGTCAAGTCAGGAAGAGAACAGCACAGATTTGTTTGTGTGTGTTCTGTGCCGTCAAGTCACTTCTGACTTTTTTAAAAAAAACTTTTTTATTTTCCTTTTTAAATAACTTTTACGATATAGTAGAAACATGCAACAAAACTATAATATAGCGACTCTACAATTAAGTGTCAAACGTTGAAGTAGTTTTTATGAACATTAACAGTAAACTTTCGTCAACATCACTTTTTTACTTACAGTGAAATTAATGGACTCCGAAGTGTCCTGTCACTAAAAGCCTTGCTCAGGTCTTGCAAACTGAGGGCCGTAGCTTCCAGAAGCAAAAAACCTCTCTCTCCATCACCCTGGACACTGTTTATGATGCATCCCAGGCAGGCCAGGGGAGGAGATGGAGTGAAATTTTTGGACCAGTCCAGTTCATGGTCTGAC